AAAATTCCATGTGCTTTTGTCATAGCTGTATTGCTTTAAATTGATGCTTTCTTTTTAATGTATGTTTCAAGTGTGGTTCTTTATCTGTAATAGTAAACGCTAAATACATGCAGCTTAAAAAGCAGCTATGTTAGGCTGAGACTTTCAGTTTTCCTTTTCAGTTGAGGCTGTTGACAGGGAGGCAGCAGTTTGGTAGTGAATGATAATTTAGCATGAACAGAGCAAAATGAACAATATCTTTGCTGCAATCAGGAAGTTTATGTCAGAAAAGGGAGCAAAATATTTCAATGGGGATAATTCTGAGATAGAGCCATGGGAAGACCAGGGTATTACTGTTAGATCACTTTTTATTTACTTCCCCATCCCCATCTTCTTAATTTCCCATATTATTTGCATATTTAGAAATCTCAGGAAAAGTCTTTTGATGCCAAATAATGGAGTAATTAGCTGGTGCCATAGAATTGTTTCCTGTAAAGCTTGATTGCTGCTTAACTGTGAAATGCTTGAGCTCAGCTGAGCCAGAAGTCCTAAAATCAGTATTTTAAAATAAAACGTGTGATTTTTAGTTCCAAAGGTATTTGAGTGCTAACTTGGGCTTTTTGAAATGCAGATGCTCTGTACTTCTTGAAAACTAGACCGCTGGAAGATGTACTAAATTTTTAGATGAGAACTTACTTTTGTATTTCTGTACTATTTATATTATGTTTAAAGTTAAGCTTATATTTTTATGGTGCACAGTTCACAGTTAATGATACCATGTTGTGTTAGCACACTTTCCTTATCGATTTTCCAGCAAAATAATTTGTGTGAATAAAAATGGAAGACATGTACTTTTTAAGCTACAAAACACCTTTGTGCTGGGACCTTGGAAAGCACAGAGATGTTGCGTGTGCATGTCCATGAAGTGATCAGACTCTCTCTGTCCTTTCTAAATGTTTCTGCTCAATTCTTGCTGATGTCTTGAAATTTTTGTAGAGTCTACTTTCTGAAGGATGTTCTTCTAAGCTTTTTGCACGTGACAAGTAGTCTAGTATGCTGGAGAGGTACTCTCTTCATTTGCTCATAGCCCTGCTCAAGAATCTAGGCACTGGCTTGATAAATTTACCCTTCTAATATACCAACAATATGTTTTTAATAATGTGTGAGCTTTAGGGTTTTCTGGCTTTTAACACAGTTAGTTGGGAGCAGGAAGAGTGCCAGCAGGATCAATACTGTGTTAATGCAAAGTCGTGGTGCAATAACAAAAGATGGACATTTAACCAGAGACTGATTCATTTATCATGTATTTGAAAGGGCATGGGAAGAAATGGGAATTGAAGTAGCAGAGCAGACCCTTACTTATTAGCCAAAAGTAGGAGAAAAGATCTTATCCAGCAAGGCTGCAGAAGATTGCATTGCATTTCAGTTACAGACGGGAAGTGATTTTTCTTAAACCAAAATTTCAAACGAAGGGTGAAGACAGGCTTGAAGGTTACTCAAGTATGAAGCTTGTTCATGCAATGTGACTAATAGATATTCTGTAAATATTTACACCAGTTTAATGTTAACTTAAACTCCAGTATCCTGAAACTAATTGTTTGGGGGATTTTCTTTAAAAAAAAAAACGAAACCAACAAAAACTACTAAATTCCTTCACAATTGTCTTGTCTCCCTTGTGGGTGATAAATGTTGACCATTCCCTTATATATGCATACATGTACCTATGTGTATATGGGTTTTATTGTTATTATTATTTGCAGAAACCACAATATACTTGTATTTTTATTTTACATTGCTTATAAACAGATTAATTAATCAGCAAGCTGTAAATTGCTATTAGACTTTTGATAGCTTCTCTCCCAAACCATTTAAAATTTCCTCGTGTTCCATGGAATTTCATTTTCAGGCATGGCCACTGTCCTCCTGCAATGCTGATGAGAAGAAAGGAGACACCAAACAGTAAAGAATCAGAGACAGCTAAATTTTTTACTTGCGCCCTGATGTGTGAGAACTGGTTATTGTTTTTAAGGAAACTCATTGCTGCATTTCCCACTTCTCTGAATGGATTCCTTTTGGAATTACAGAGCTTGTTTCTAGGAAAAATATTTTGATACTCTGCCTCAGTGTCAGTGTAAATTTCTGCTTTCAGCTTTTACATAAATTTCTACTGCACATAGCATTTCTGTTCCATCCCCCAGTTCTCTGTTTTCAATTTCAGATGTTTGCAGGCTATAACATCCTCTCACAACCAAATGTTTCTTATGCTATTAATTATTGGTTTTAAGATTTTATTACTTTTTCTTTCCCTGGCTAAATTTTACTTTCATCTCACTTATTACAAAAGTGTAGTGCTACTATTTTCTTAGCTAAGAATCTCAGGAGACAGGGCTATTATAACTCAGAGTTTTAGTATTTTCTTTACAGAAAAACAACAAAAACTGTAAATGTACTACAGTTTTAAACTGAAATTCTCGCCTTTTTATTAATAAAATGAGTCTTCAGAAGTGTCAAGAAAGTGTGACTATAATGGCCGTGCTTCAGAGTGTGTTCTGAGCTCTGGGAATAATAACCAGTGAAAGGCATGTGCTGTCTTTACCTGAATTTTGAAATAGTGTAAAATCTTCCAGTTGCATAGATTTTTCCTTGGGAATGACACTTAATAACAACCTCCCATTACATTATATATTCAAAACGAAAAATCTCATATGCCTTTGTCACAGAATAAAAAAAATGTGTAGTTATTGTTGAGACACCACATTGTGCATTTATCTCTGGCAAGTGGGCAGGGTAGGTTTAGACTAGATATGAGGAAGAAGCTCTGTACAATGAGGGTGGCAAAATACTGTAACAGGTTGCCCAGGGAGCTGCTGGAGGCTCCATCCTTGAAGGCATTCAAGGTCAGGCTGGATGGAGCTCTGAGGAACCTGGTCTAGTTAAAGATGTCCCTGCTCACGGCAGGGAGGTTGGACTAGATGACCTTTAAAAGCCACCTTCCAACCCAACACATTCTATGATTCTATAACCTGAGGTAGTTAAGGAAAATCATGATGTACTTTCACATCCACAAAAAGATGTTTAGAGCTAGAATTAGAATTAGGTAAACCATGGCTTTAGTCCCAGATTTTTTTTGAATTTCAAGTTAGCACATGAACATGTTGCCTTCAGTGGAATTAAAGCATATGTGACTGGCTGTGTTGCACCTGAATATGGTCAGCTTTTCTGAATGGGAGATTAATAGATCAAATCATTCAGTCAGATTTTAAATAAAGCGCATAGTCTCATCCAACTGGAATATTCTGACCAAATCTTCAGGTTCAGCTTCTTTCGCTCACCTCCATGTTAAATGACTGAGGTTTCTGGAGTAACTCCTTGACTGATGGCAGTGCATCAAATCTAGTGACAACAATGAGTGATTGATAAGAATTCATCAAATCTGAGATATATAGTTAGAGCTTGGCTGCAGTGCCTCTGTTTCCTTCATAGAAGCTGATGTGTCGGGCAGTTGTGAGTCATGTAATGAATCATCCGAAATGCTTGGGACAGGCACAAGAAAGAGATGCAAATGTAGCCATTGTTTGTCTGATGCAATACTCTGGGTTTGTCATAAAATGGAAGCTAGAATAATTTTTCTCTTCGTAAGACTGCAGAGATGCAAAACTAACCAGTCTTGTTATAGTTGTAGTAAGGGAAATTACTTCTGTTACAACTTATTAGAACACAGATACAGCAGGATGCTTAATGTTGCAAAAACTACATTGGTAGGTTTACTCTTGTTTCTTCCTCTTTTGCATATGTTTTTCATTATGCTTTGGTAATTTTTATTTGACCACAGCTTATTTTAGGGTGCTTCCCATTTGATGGGCATCTACTTTCCTCCTTAGTTGAGTAGTCGTATTTTGTCATACACAACATTTTACTCCTTCAGCCAGAATGTTTTCATGGTGAATGTTTGGTTGGGTTTTGGACACTTTTTTTAAAATTACTTACTTACTAACTAGATAGATAGATAGATAGAAACATGCCACATCCAGCTGTTTTTTTAAACACATCCAGGGATGGTGACTCCACCACCTCCCTTGGCAACCCATTCCAATGCTTCACCACCCTTCTGGTGAAGAAGTTTTTCCTAATATCCAATCTAAACTTCCCCTGGTGCAACTTGAACCCGTTCCCTCTTGTCCTGTCGCTGTTCACTAGGGAGAAGAGGCCAACACTCGTCTCACTACAGCTGCCTTTCAGGGAGTTGTAGAGAATGACAAGGTCTCCCCTCAGCCTCCTCCTCTCCAGGCTGAACAGCCCCAGCTCCCTGAGCCTCTCTTCATAAGACTTACCGTCTAGTCCCCTAGATAGATAGATAGATAAAAGCTGTTACTTACTTACTAGATAAATAAATAGATAGACAAATAAAAGCTGTGAAAAGAATCCATTGTTTGCCATCAAGCACAAATTAGTGTTAAGAACTCCTGTTTTCCACTAAACAGATAACATCTAGCTTTACCAGAATGGGAGGCTGCACAAAGTTTGGCAACTGAAAGCTTTCAGTCTGGCTCACAGCAGTGTTTAACCGACAAATAAAACTCTCGGTTGATCCAAAAAATCTGATGTCCATACACTGCATGAAATACACTTTTGATTTACTGCATGAGTGTACATTTTAAAGTCAATAGTCTTGACTTGCAAAGATATTTAATAAAGGTGCTTTACAGTGATGAGGCTTTGATTATATTCCTGTCTTTGCATTGGTTAAAGTTCTATTGTTTCTCTTAAACAGCTTGTTGTATTTTCATACCTAACTAGGGCTTAAAATTAGTGCTCAAAATGCTAGTCTTTCATTATAAATTTCTAAGTTTTTTTAACTGGCAAAATGTTTTTGCAAACTACATGCCCTTTAAGGGGGGAAGAGGGAAACTGACGGAAGTGTAGATGGATGGATGTATATTTAGCAGTGTCATAGCTAAGTTAATTGGCTTTACTCATTTTTACAACTGCATTTCTTGTTTTTTCTTGAAATCCCTAATCAGAGATTGACATAGAGCGTTGTGTCCGTGAGTCAATCAACCTGTTTCGCTGGACCCCGAAGAGCGCTACGTACAGGCAGTATGCACAGCCACCGCGGCAAGCCAGCGAGGGCAACGGTACAAGGAGTTCCATGTCCTGCTTTTCGGCAGACTATCAGGAAGCACCTCGAAGTGACCTAGTAAGTAATCTGGGAATTGGAGGGGGAAGAATTGTTTAGAATGCATGTTTGTTCCTGCCCTAGATGTCTCTTCTCTTTAAAATTTAGACGGGAAGAAGACACTTACCAAACCTCAGTTACTGGATTTATGTTGTCACTTCCAAGCACAGGGGTTTGACATGTTCATCAGTTGTTCTCATTTGCTTGTCAGCTAGTGCAGTGTTAGAGCTTATGGCTTAGTTTTGATAAACAATCCAACCCAGTGAATGAAAATTAACTGCAAGGTGATTGAGTTTTGTGTTTGGGGTTTTTTTTAACTTTACTACTTTGAACTTCAGCTTCTTTGATGTACGTGCCAATAAAATTATTTCTTCTTGTGCTGGATTTCTGCCTCTCCCAACTCCTGCTGCTTTGGTTCTGTGGTGTTTGTTGCCACAACAGACCAATGTCCATGACTCACCTGCAGAACTACAATCAGGCTTTATCTTAGGAGAAAAAAGTAAAAAGAACAGTTTGCCAGTGAGAAATAGGTAACTGGAAAGTGATGCAGGCAGCTCTGGCTGCTTTTTCTATCTTGGCATGTCAAGTTAAAGGTATGGCTCAAGTTATTTTGAGAGGTAGTAAGTGAGTTGTGCCTGTGTTTGTCTTGGCAAAGAATAACCAGTGGCTAAGAGTGTATCGGCATTAAATAGATACTCAGTTTAGCAAAAATATGTTTCCCTTCTCTCGCCAGTAAAATCAGATGGTTGTTTCTCTTGTCAAATATATCATCTGAAGAATGTGATTTGAAATTACTCCTTTTCTTCCTCTCAGCAGTATAAATGCAGTCAATCTCTTAAAAATTATACAGTTTGGGGTTTTTTCCTTCCACATTCTCCTTCAATCAGAATTCATTCATGAGTATATTACAATAATAGGGGAAGGATATATAAACCTGCCACATCTCTTTGGTCAATTGCATTAGGTTTTAGTCTTCCCATCTGTTTTTCCTAACTGCTATGAAAGTAAGTGTATTGTTGCTCAAATGTATCTTACTTTTTAAAGTATTCCTTAAACCTGAAACTGATTTTCAGTCATATTCTTGTTTTTCACTTTAGTTTTTATTTTATTTCTATTCCTGTGTTCAGTGGAAGTCTTAGTCACAAATCCAGGAGTCTGAGTGCTAGACATGCAAATTAAGAACAAAAGGAAACTCTTTGCAAAGAGCTTAAAGAATTTAAGAAATAATAGGTGGATATACAAAAGGCATTTTGGAAGAAAAATGAAATGACAGGAGAATATTGGTGGTTGTCATACAAGAATTGTAGCCAATACAACTGCTGCTGTGCTGTTTTAGACATATAGAGAGGAACTTTCTCAAGGAGTTACTGGCTGCCCATTCATAGAATAGTTCAGATAGCTTCTTAGGAAGACATTTGGTATAAATTCCTTCAAAAAACAGGCCCTGAACTAAATTCCGGTGGGACTTCCCAGGGTTTTGTTTGGTCAGGTTGTGAAAACTTCCAAGGAAAGAGGTTATGCAGCCTCTTTTGGCAGTCTAATAGTGTCACAAATAAAAGTGATTTCATGTATGTCGTAGCTTTACTTACTGTTATGACAGGAAAGTAAAAAGACAAGTCTTCTCAGTCCTAAGGATGTTCTAGTGCCTTTCTGTGTTCAAGCAAGAATGAAGGGGCTTGGAAAACAGCAGGGAGGGAGATGAGAGAAAGCAGTGATAGTCTGCTGAACTGGTAAATAGAAGAAGGCTTTATACTTCTAACAGAGATAAACCCCCATTATTTTAGGGTAAGTAAGGTTTCTTTCAGTATTCTGTTTCCTGAGAAATTTTGGGTTGTTTTTTAATGATAGTAATTTTATTTTCATACCCTAAATTTTGTTTGTTTATAATGCCAGTAACTAGGCTCATTCATTCCACAATTTCCAATAAATCATACAGTCATAGAGCAGCCTAGGCTGGAAGGGACCTTAGAGCTCATTTTTAACCCAGCCTCCCTGTTGCCAGGGACACCACCTCTCAACTAGATCAGGTTGGTGTTTTTGGTATATTTCAGAGAAGAAAAAATAATGCCATAACTTCTATTGCCTTCTCTTTCATTTCGCCTTCTTTCTATGTAACACAAAGCACTTTTCATTTACTGCAATGTAACTGATAGTTTAACTTCTTTTGAAGCTTAAGTATATTGGGTCTTTTGGGTACTGCGGTCGGGGTTTTGTAGTTCATCGTATGGAGCAGCACTACGTGATTTATACAGAAATGTATGAACATACACAGGCTTTTTTGTAGCAAAGGGGAAACTGATTCATATGTTGTTATAGTCTACAAATGTGTCTGTTCTCATGTGTGCTGCATTTTTGTGTGTCAGATTTTGAGACTAATGTATATAAGCCGAACATGTTCTGGTTATGGAACCATAGTTCAGACTTTGAAAATCCTGTGTACCTTGAGCCATTAATGAGCTACCTCTCACCTGTGACCGGTTCTGCCCTTCTGGATATTTGTCTTTATAAGATTATGCTTCTCAGAGGTTTGAACATTACTGAAAAAAAAAAAATTACTGATGCAATATGTTATTTACACCCAAAGGTGTTGTGTTTGTTGTTTGTTTGAGTTTTTTAACCTTAATCCTGGAACTACCTATCTTTTTCTTCAGACATGTGCTTCACTGATATTTGCTGCCATGGGGAAGCTGGGAAACTTTCCACTCGAAAGCTGTGGAATCCAAGTTCAATCTTTAGCATACCCAGTGCCTTTAATGGATTTTCTAAAACACTACTGTGTCCTTGCTAGTCAGTCTAGCTCTTAAAAAATTACTCCCCACTTTGAGGATGGGGAGGGTGGGAAACAATTCCTTTGTAAACAAACCTGTGGGTTTGCTTCTGAAGGTAATTTATGACTTCTTAAACATTTAATTCTAAACACCAGCTGTCTGCTACTCCTATATTTATATTTTCCTTTTAAACTGCTTTGGTTTGCTTCTCCAGTGCTTTTTATTGGCTACTCAAATATTTGTGTGTATCTGCATGCTATGGTGCTTTGGTTAATAGTAACAGACGAAGCATTTACCCCTGGGTGAGCACTTTTCTTCCTAAATCAGCAGCCAGTAAAACAAACTTTTTTGACTCTCTTTATCACTAGCATTGCTTAATTTTAATTTTACTGACATCTATTTGCAACTTTGTAAATAGACTTGGTTGCTCTTTTCCTTCCCAGACGTGTGTTGCTTAATTTTTTACTCTTTCAGCCAGTAAGCATATTTCTGCTGAGATAAAATCTCATGGAGGAAGTAGTTTCAGAGACAATGAATGTACAGCTTAAATGGTTTTGCATGTTTATTTGAGAAAGATAAAATGTCAAAAAGAAGAATGAAAAAACCCCTCTAGATTTTGTTTTTGTTTCCTTATTTCATTGTTCTACTACTCAACAGAAAGCTGCTCCTCAAATTTGTCTTTAGTTCATGTTGTGCAAAGCATTAACTCATCAATATCTGAGTTAATGTTTCTAATTTATTTTGCATGTACTTTTGATGCTTCTGTTTTTCTGACTGTAGCTGCCAACAGCTTGAGTGAGAAATTTGATTTATTTGTAATTTTTGAAAAGAGTTGGTGAAAATACACTTTTTATGTCACTTTCTTGTGAGTGAATAAACAATTCATTGTTTAATTAGGCATGTCCTAAGCTCATCACATTCTGGCAAATGTTTTTAGGAATTGTTGAAAACTTCAAAACTTTCTCTGTGTATTTATTAACTTTTCAAAGTTTTTTTTGATGCTGATAAGCTAGGCAGCCAGAAACCAAAAAGCAGGGAGGGTAAGGAAACCTCGGCTTCCAGAACTTTGCTTCTGCAGATTAAATTAGCTGAAGGAAGCCTTTTTTAGCATTTTTTTTTCCGCTTGGTTTTAAAAATATGAATGTGTTGTCTTACCTTTTAGGACTTTTCCAGATGATAAGGCATTAAATAAATTAACAGACTAGATAAAACAAGAAATATGTGGCTTAGGAAATAATTGATGTTAAATCTTAATTTAAGAGTCTCTAATGAATGTTGTGGTTGTTTTTTAAGTTGTAATATAAATAACTGTTAATTTAATGTAAACTCATTGGAACAAATGTTCTGTGTTGTTTTCTTAGCTGAAGCAGAATTAAAGCAGTATGTTCGTAATAATAATACAAGTATTATTTATATGAGACTTCAGTAGTTTGTTAGACACACACTTAGATCATATTTGAGGACTGTAAACATTTTTTGTACAGACTTGGTTTCTGAGTCTCCTTGGGACAAGTTTGTCTTCTGTGAATGTAATGGGCAGAGGCAGAGCAGCCCGAGCGCTCCCTGCTGCAGCCTTGGGCTCAGGTTCTGGATTCACTAATGGTTGATCTGGTCCTTCATCACAAACCTTTGTGCTTATACTCGCTTTGAAGCTGAAAGCTGGATGTATTTGACCTTTTTGACCTCCCACAACTGGCATTCCATGACTGATTAAAAAATGTGATGGGAGGGGGTAATTATACCTGGTAAATGAATTAAGTTAAATATATATATCGCTGGCTCTCTCCTCCTGCATCTCGGGCAAATGTTCTTTTTATGGATTTGTGTGTTCTTCTGATTTGGAAATTATTTTGAAATCAGATTCTGGGTTTGATAGCCCTTGATCAATTAACTATTAGGAGTTTAATTTTTCTCTTTTTTTCAATTTTGCCATATTACTGGGTAAAAAAAACTACTTGAAAAAATCATAAGCAGTAGCCACTGTATGACAGAATAAGGTATATGGCAGCTATCATCACCACCCTCTAAGTTGTGGAAGTTATTGACAGCTGTTTACAAGATAAAGAAAGAATTGGACCCACCATAAAGCACTAAGCACAACAGAACAGGGCATTCAGGTTTGCTGCAGCTGTTAAATAGTCTGCATTTGAGCCAACTCCTGGTTTTCCATTCTATGCCCAGTCTTAGCCCTCGAGGAGTGTATCCTGTGAGAAGACTTTAACTGAAATGCATGTGGTAGCAGTGGTAACATAA